AATTTGAAAGAACATAATATTTAAATGACAAAATCATCTGTTTGATCAAAATCAGTTCAGAGACGGCTGCAATAAAATGATTTCTAATACTTGTGTATCACCTCAAATATTAGATATTTGGAAAAATTTGAAAAAAAACCGTTTAAAAAAACAACGTAATAACGCCTTTTACATCGTATTTCAGCCAATGCCAATGTTGTTATGTTGTTGGCATTTTCGTTTTGCTTACATTACCCACAATTAGCCAGCTCATGTATTGTTATTTTTAATTAAATAATTCATTAACGGTCACCACGTTTATTTTTAAGTGGAGCTGAATCGGTATGATCGTATTGGCTAAATTTCACACATTTTGGGGTCTAAAGTTACCTTCATAGCAATTTTAGGTTCTAAAAGGGCACTATAAATGTCATAGATAAGAATAAGAGCAATAACCATGCACTTTGAAGGCATTTGCGGTCTGAAAACAGAACTCAACTATCCCTTTAATGTGGTTGCATTGGCATGTGTGCCCTTGTAAAATAGTGTCTGGATTGAATACTCCCCGGGGAGCAGAGCATGTGCACTATCATGCCCAGATTAGCAAGATAAACCATTGACGACATAATAAGAATTACAATGTAAAGCACTTAGAAACGTAGTATGCGCTATGCAAATGTGACTATTATTACTATTGAAACTGTGTTGCGCACAGTAATATTTTTCATCCCAATCGCCATTCATTTCCACATGGAGAAAAAAATCCCCAGTAAACTGCCGTGGTGTATCCCACCATATGGGAACGAACCTCTACTTGGAGGGATAAATTACTTGGGGAAAGGACGAATTACAACTGAATATATATTGATTCATTTCAGGCGCAGACTGGAATTATCGCCAGAAGTGTTATATATATATATAACAGGGATTCTGACAAAGAATATTGTTGCAGATGTGAAGCATATTAATAGCAAGGAGCTACCTTCTCATACAGGTACAGCATTGACATGGCCGCTAAGCTTTGGATAAAACCTTTTAAACCTTAAAATTGTATTATACTGGAGTCTATTAATATTTAAGGATTTTTTGTTTAAAGGTTGCAAAAATGTGAGTAGAGCTAGGTTTGCAAAGTTTGGGAGCAGTTATGCTTCATCAAATTACATTGACCTAAGGTCTCTGGGTACATTTCAAGCATTTTTCTGCTTTGCGATGGTTTTTAGTTTTTACAGCTTTCTATCTACTCCCAAATTCGATCTACAGTCTACACACAAACAATAACATACCAAATTCTGTTTGGGTGTACAAGAATTGATTGGTTTATGTACATGTTCATGCTATTATTAAATGCTTGAATTTATCCAAACATTTAGTTGAATAGTCCTTTTCTGGCAAAGAGAGCAAAGCCTATTAGTGTCAATATGATCATCCACATCCTCACCCTTTGATATCAAAATGTGAATAAAAAAGAAGATCAAGTTACAGCGTGAAATTATCTAATACTATTAGTTAAAAACATGAAAGAAAAAGTAAGATAGAAACATTTTTGCAAGAAATATCCCAGAAATATCCCAGAATATTCAACTTACTGCCTGGAAATATCTCGTAATGGTTAACTTAGCAGAAATAGATACAGAGAGTAACAGAATTAGCTTGATCACAATATCCTTCAGAAAACTTACAAACACATACCCCGGGGTAAGAAGATTCAATAATGATGTGTACTATTCCATCTGATATCCAAGAACGATCATATCCAAACAAATTCAGGTAATAATGACAGTGGTCCTGTTTAATATCATCCTACGAAGAGAGCCTTCATCAGCACAATTAGCAATTCCAATGTAGAAAATGCTTTAAATTGGGACTGCATCAATGCATACATGTATCTTCTTCCCACGTCCCGTAGGTAGCACTCGTATCGTCAAGACTCTTGAAAGTTGTGATCAATTTCAATCCACCTCTCACCCACTCTCTCTCTCTCTATTTTTCTCTTCCTCCATAGTTTAGTCTCTCTCTCTCTCTTTCTCTCTCTCTCTCTCTCTCTCTTTCTTTCCCTTACTTTGTCTGTCTGTCTCTCTCTCTCTCTTTCCCTCCCCCTCCTTTTCTCTCTCTCTCTCTCTCTCTCTCCCTCCCCCTCCTTTTCTCTCTCTCTCTCTCTCTCTCCCAACCTCCCGTGGCTACGCTGCACTGCTTGCTTGCTCGTTGGAATTAGATTGCGCAGCATTTGCATTGATCATCCGAAAAGGTGCATATACCGGCCAGCGAGGGGGCTATACTTAGCCAGCCTCCATAGGACGTCAGCACCTTAGGTCTGATCAATGCAAGACCTGGGGGGGGGGGGTGCGTTTCACAAAACTTGTCATCAGTCACAAATGACAGTTTTTGTTATAACCTACTGAAATCCTTGCTTCTGATTGGTTATCAGCAGATTTGTCACTGATTATTGTCATTTGATTTTGAAACTAGATGGAACTTTGACTGCGCGCAGTCGAAAATGATGCCTTCGTCATAGAGCAATTTTACAAACCAAAACAGAAGAAATTTTTCAAATTCAAGTTTAATTGTAATCCATTGACAGGTTCTCAGAATATTGTGATTACAAGCAAATTCTCATATACATATATATGACCCTTTGATCTTTGACCTCATGACCCTAAAATCTACTCAGTTCATTGGCTCGGCAAGATGTCCTGAGTTAAATAGTAATCCATCTGTCAGTTCTAATGAGAATGCGTTCACAAGCTATTTTTGCATACATAATAAGCCCATGACTTTGACCTCATGACCCAAAAATCTACTCAGTTCTTTGGCTCTGCAAGATACATACATGATCTAAGTTTGGCAGGAATCCATCGATTTGTTCTAATGATAATGCGATCACAAGCTATTTTTGCAAACATGAGCCACATGACCTTTGACCTTGACCTCATGACCCCAAAATCTAATCAGTTCATCGGCTTTGCAAGTAACATACATGACCTAGGTTTGGCAGGAATCCATTAATCGGTTCTTCAGATAACGCGATCACGAGCTGTTTTTGCATACATAATGAGCCCTGTGACCTTTGACCTTTGACGTCATGACCCCAAAATCTAATCAGTTCATCGGCTTTGCAAGATACATACATGACCAAAGTTTGGCAGGAATCAATCAATCGGTTCTTCAGATAACGTGATCACAAGAACGGGACGGACGGATGGACGTACGGACGTATGGACGAACGGACGGACGGACAGACAACCCGAAAACATAATGCCTCCGGCTACTTCCTAACGGAGGGATAAAAAGGCTATGTAAAACAGTTCCCTGTACATACAGACTGGAACAGAGTTAGCCGGCACGCGCTATCATCGGATGACAAGGTGTTGGTAACATGGGGCACATCTTCCTACAAGATTTCCATTAAAGTATCTAGGCTAGAAAGAAGAGACATGACTTGCTTGCACTAATATCGACATTCTGAATAGAATTAATGGCCAGAGAGAGGTATGAGAGAGAGAGTCAACTAGAAGAATTTTACATCCTTGAGGTATCAACTTTTTTTATATTTACAGGGGCTTCTATTAGGGTTTGGGAGTTGCCTTAAAGATAATACAAAGTTTTGGGAAATTTTGAAAATTGGGTGGATAGTGATTTGTTACAATTTTAATATATTTGGATGCCCCTGTGGATGTATTATAAGCACTAGAAAATTTAGCCAATAAAACACTTCTGCTTTCGAGAAAAATTAAATATAAAGATTAACGGTGCTCCCGGTAAATTTTGATAAATTTCAAATAGCTCCTACGGCCGTACAATGGTAGATGCGACCATGAAAATCTCAGAATATGTAGTTGTGATATATAATTTTCAAACGGGAATAGCTAATCGGTCTATTTTAGTCAAGAAATATTGTTTTATATCTTCATTAATATCTTGACCTTGAGAGGGAGCTATACAACATAGAGAGATTAATATTTCAAATTTCATAACTTTCGACTCGGTTTCAACTGCGACAACAATCACTGGATCGCGTAGGATCGCATATGCTTCCCATATGTTCATTTGAACCAAATCCATGACCCCATACCAAAACTTTGTATTACCTTTAAGGTTAAGAACTTCAATATTTTGTCACTACTTTCATGCGATGGAAGCTGAGGTAAGTCACATTAGGATTATCTTTTTGAACTGAATTGCATCAGTCAAGCTTTAGGCAGAACAACAACCTTTTTTCTTTTGACTAAGCGATACCGGGTGTGCAGAGACATGTTATCAACAGAGAATCAAATGTAGACAACATTCAAGAGATATTATCCTTTAACCCTTTCGGGACAATCATTCAACATTTTGTGGTTCAGCTCAATAAATTTTGATACAGAGCCCTGAAAAATATACATGATGTACGAGTAGGAAGAGAAGAAAACAATTCTGCACACACCGCATCCATTTTTCTTGCATGACCATATTGATCATATTGACCATTTGGTGCCTGGATTTTAAAAAGGAAAATGAGCATTAAAACCCTTAAATTGGTAACACATTGAGAAGTTGAAATGAATTATTTTTGGTTGAAAATGAAATTTACCCTCAACTTTTGAGAAAATTTCAATATATAGATATTGTTTATACAGATATTACATTTAAATTGTAACAATGTAGCAATAAAAACAAATCCACTCCAATCCAATCCAATCCAATCCAATCCAATCCAGGTATTTATGAAGCGAAGTGTACGGTCTCCTAGTCTTTCAGATTTTGTGTCTCTGTCTCGTTTTCTTTCTGCCTCTATTCTTCTCCTCTCTATCTCTTTTTCTTTCTTGCTCTCTCTCTCTCTCTGTCTCTGTCTCTGTCTCTCTCTCTCTCTCTCTCTTTCTCTCTTTCTCACTCCCTTCCTCCTTCTTTCCTCTCTCTCTTCCTCTAATAACTACAGCGATTTAATTTCCCTCACAATTACATTCCACAACCCCTCACCCATGAGACACATATAAATACCATATCTTGTTCCATATTTTCATCTCTCCTAGGATCAGAGACGGCCGATGTCCTCAAGCCAGACAATTATAGACCGGAGCTCACTCTGGTCACAGCTCGATAATAAGCCTCCGACACTGGCACGACAAGAAGGTGAAACCATATCTTTTTCCAGTCGTTTCAGAATCCAATTAGAAAGGTGGCTGAAGCTAAATTGCGCTAATTTAGCGATTACTCGCAGGACCAGATGCTTAATCGCGTATGTACATGGTCTGGTACGTGTTTGCGTGTCTTGGATGGCTGTTCGTAATTCAGCGGGGATTTGAGATATTTGTATTGGTAATTTACGTAGTGTGAATACTATGTGCACGGTGATTACAGGTTGTTCAAATCTATTACAATGCTACCCTGCTTATGAGGATTATTTTATATGTCAATTTATCATGAACTTAATTCTTTAGTTTCTAAAGAATGGAAATCAATGTTTTATATGAAGCTGGAAAAATAGATATATCCCTTTGACAAAATCATATCTAACATTCAAAATCAGCAAATTTGCACCCCCCCCCCCTACCCCTCTCCCCCACCACTGCAATGGCAATATCCTCTTCTTCCTTGGAGATTTACATTTTTTACCCTAAAAAAGCCCTATTGAGAAAACAGTTATTTTTTTGTAGTTGCTAAATTGATATCTTATTATTCATTTAAAAGGAGAAATCATTCTATACTAATCATGAATATTCAGTGATAAGAAAGCCCAAACATTTAATGACAATAAAGGTACAATGATGAACAAAACTTACCAAGTCTCCAGGAAATATGAATCCTTCATGCCTTCAAGCTACAGACTATATACATTGTATGAGACACCTCATCAAACTCATTCCTAATCCGAGCACGGAATAATAACATCCTCATATTTGCAAGCTGGTACTCACGCCACAAAATGCAATATACCGAGGCTACTGAACAAATAGTAATCACTATCCTAGCCGCATATATCCAATAGAACACTGAAGGCAGTATCAATCAACTGCTCAGTCCCTAAAATATCTACACATCTATATATGCAAGTATTAATAGAACCTAGACGGCAGTGTGACAGATCAAATTATAAACATGAAAAGAACAATGCTCCCAACTGTTTGTTGCACATCGACTCTCTTTTCTACAAGAGAAAGGTGCAACCAGATCTCATGGCATTTATCGCATACACTGAAGGGAGCTTTAAAGTACATTAGAACCTATTTCCTTCATGTTACACATATGAGATTTTTTTTAAATCTTATATGCTAGATAAAAATAATATAAGTCATATCATTGGATAGTACAACGCTCATATTGACCATGCAAGGCACCCCAGCTCTAGCTCATCTACTGACTTTAATGCTTACATCATTCAACAAATTCTATCATACCAGGGGGGTGTTTCAAAAAGACTAAGATTGACTTTAAAGGTATTACAAAGTTTTGGGAAATTTTGAAAAATGGGTGGATAGTGATTCTTTACAATTTTGATATATTTGGATGCCCCTGTGGATGTATTAATAACACCAGAAATTTTAGCCCCTAAAACACTTCTGCTTTCGAGAAAAATTGAATATAAAGATTTACCGGTGCTCCCGGTAAATTTTGATAAATTTCAAATAGCTCCTACTAGCTGCGACCATGAAACTCTCTGACTCTCTGAGTATGTAGTTGTGGTATATAATTTCCGAACGACAATAGCTAATCAGTCAATTTTAGTTAATAAGCATTGTTTTATAGCTTAATTAATATCTTGACCTTGAGAGGGAGCTATTCAACATAAAATGTTTATTATTTACAATTTCATAACTTTAGAGTCGATTTCGACCGCGACAACGGTCACTGAATATTGTAAGATCGTATATGCTTCCAATATATTCATTTGAACCAAATTCATGACCCCATACCAAAACTTTGTATTACCTTTAAGTTGGACTTAAATATGGCAGGCCGTTCATGACTCTGTTTGCCCTCGACACTTACTGGCATTAGGCTCTCAAGGGACTTACAAATCATGGTCACAAATCTACAGAATTTATATTTTTTGATAATTCATTATTGAAGGAAAAAATATTATCTAAAAATCATAATGGAAAGAGCAAACAGTGGCATGAACGGCCTGCTATATTTAAAGGGGGTATAGCATGATGAGACTACGTGTCTTTCTGGTGGCCTGACTGGGGGCCAATCAGGTATGATACGACTACAGACGACGCAAGTATTTACGTGCGTGCAACATACGCGAAACCGAAGCCTGAGGAGAACTTCGGTCTGTTTCGCGATTGCTAGCGCGCACTGACCGTTAATCAAGTCCATTCATTTACATGCAGTTGTCCAAAAGAAGTCGTAGATGACCTTAACCAGTATTTGCCATGCTACACCCCGTTTAAGCCCATCTTAAAGTCGATCTAAGCCTTTGTCAAACACCTCCCAGGTAACTGTTTGACACCTGGGTGAAGATTGGCAATTGTCATCAGTGCCATGCCAGAGCTCATACATTCCTAATCTTCATATATAAAATTGAGTGTTCAAACCACTCAACTAAGGCTTCTCTACATTAATTACCCCTGTATATCAAGAAACAGTAGATGACCTACCTGGTATGATGCCTGTGTAAGACTTGAAGGCGCTACGCTTGGCAGAGGTCACATGACGTCTGCTTAGACCTTCAAAGACAAGGAATACCTCAGCATCCTCGGTGGGGGGATGGGCACCTGGTCCAAAACTGATCTTGATCTGTCCCCCTCCCTGTAATCAAGGCAATGAAGGTTTTGCAATATAAATATAAAAATAAGGGGCATGGTTAAAACCTGGTCCAAAACTGATCTTGATCTGTCCCCTTCCCTGTAATCAAGGCAATGAAGGTTTAGCAATATAAATATAAAAATAAGGGGCACGGTTAAAACCTGGTCCAAAACTGATCTTGATCTGTCCCCTTCCCTGTAATCAAGGCAATGAAGGTTTAGCAATATAAATATAAAAATAAGGGGCACGGTTAAAACCTGGTCCAAAACTGATCTTGATCTGTCCCCCTCCCTGTAATCAAGGCAATGAAGGTTTTGCAATATAAATATAAAAATAAGGTGCACGGTTAAAACCTGGTCCAAAACTGATCTTGATCTGTCCCCTTCCCTGTAATCAAGGCAATGAAGGTTTAGCAATATAAATATAAAAATAAGGGGCACGGTTAAAACCTGGTCCAAAACTGATCTTGATCTGTCCCCCTCCCTGTAATCAAGGCAATCAAAGGGTTTGTAATATAAATATACAAATGAGGGGCATGGTTAAAACTATTGCCCAAGGTGATCTTGAAACTGTACTGTTACTCAAGGCCAAGTCGAGGAGCATATAGTGCAGTTTTGAGATCACTGAGGAGCTACCGTTTTACCTGTGACCTGAAAAGTAATCAGTTACATATGTGTTTTATATATTTTTATTCCCGTGTTAAGAGACATTTTAACAAAATATGCCTGTCAAAATGTATTTATTTGTCAAGTCTAGGAAAATTTACTTGTTCAAGAGCATTGCGTGCATCTCACTGCACATATCCATTGTTAAATCCATGTGCAACCATTACATCCTTGCATTGAACGTGCACACAGAACCTTGCCCAGATAATGCAGTGGTGGTTATTTTACCCGACTGCTCAGAAAGCATAAATGCTTATTAGTAAACAACCAAAGGACCGACGGCCTTAAGTCCTCTCTGAGAGACCTGGTAATGAGGATTAATGCCATACCAAAGGGCACTGGTGCATCGCCTTGGTTTCGAACCCGGGTCGCCAAATTACGAGACCACTGCTCTACCAACTGAGCTATCGCGCCTCCTCCTAATGTTTTTCAATATACGACCGAGCAGTGAGTAGCGAATTTCGTGCATGCAGTTATGACCAATCAGAGTCTTCATATGCGGCATATATGTGTTGTATAATTATATATTTAGCCCCTAAAATATAAAGAATGCATCAGTTCGTACTTCGATCCTGTCAACCAGATTTTGTCATATCAACCCAGTATGTGATTTACTGCACTCAATTTGTGAATTCTTGTCTTACAAATTTAATGCGATGCCCTAGGAACATGTGAACTCAGCACATAATAAAAAGTAAATAATGCACAGACATGCTTGTCAACAAGTTCATCCATCATTTTTCATCTCACACATTAGCGAATTGACAGCTAGATTCAAAGAGGAGGTTAACATGTTTGAAACTCAAACCCTTCTCTCTTTTCCCTTCCTTTCTTAAATAATGGGTTTTGAATACAATGTAAATCTGTGACCTGGGAACATTTCGCACCATTTCAAGATTGGCAACAGTAGAATACAATTTGTGCTGGTAGGGATGGTTTATAATGGTTCATACAGAAACAATGTAAATGTACATATAAACAGTGACAACAACAACATGCAGGGGAAAATAATGCTACAAAAAACTCTGCTATATGATTGTCATTTTACATTCCAAAATAAAGAAAGAAAGAATTTGGGAATATATTACTTTCTTGCTAATTCTTATTCATCTTTATTTAGTTTTTTTAATATCCCAAACAGATTGAAAAGTTCTCTCACTGAATTAGAGATATTAATTACAATTAACCTCATCATTGTTCTTACGTATTTATAAACAAGAATATTACGTCATACTGATAGTGATAAAGGTGCTGGTCATGTGATAGGAGATGCAGGGCTCAATAAGAACAGATGTTTGGTCCGCATGGGCCCCCAAATTATAAACTTGAGACAAAATTATTAATATTCAAACGTGGGCCCTGAGCATAATCTGGACCACTGTGATAAGAGATAGTGCGAACACTGTATATATTGGATTTCATCTGCCAAGAGCAAGAAAGGCATTGATTCATGTCTGGTGAGGTTAAGAGTTAACAATATTCTGTCTCTCCCAGTAATCTTATGTAAACTATTAAAGGTCAAGAGATCATACAAACTTACAAGTTCACTGTGTGCATTTGGTCTTTTCCATGTTGTCTTTCAACAAACTTTTTACAAAGCAATATTTGCAACACTCAATCTTTATCATGAAAGAACAGACAGACTGTGTGAGAAGTCAATATGCATGGTACAGGAAATGGACACTGCATGCTAGGAGCTTGTGGAACATTTTGGAGGAAAGGAGTGTCTTAAAACTGTGCTCTCTTTGTTCCATATTTGTCAACGCTATTGTTACTTGTGGTAATACTTTTCTTTCTATCCAGCCACATTCATTGGGGTTACTCTTCAGTTTACAACACACAATACACAGATTAACATACATGGGGATATAATCTGAAAGCCCAAGCACTTTCTATTGACTAAGGGGTATTTAAGAAAAGCTGGAGATAAAAGAAATGAACATGACTTCTACAATGATCTGGGTATTCAGATTCTTCCCCTTCAAAAGATAGTCAGTGAACTGGTGGTACATCTACATAGTCTTTCTGCAAGCTAACTTGATGCCAAGCAGGGAGGGGGAGAGGAGAAAGAGGAGGGGGAGAGGGGGAGAGGGGGAGAGGATGGGGAGAGGGGAATAGGAGGGGAGAGGGGGGACAGGAGGGGGAAAGGGGAAAGGGGAGAAGAGGGGGAGGGAGGCTGGTGTGAGTGTAACGTAGGCAACAACACCTACAGTTGAACTCATAAAGACCTTTTGTTCCTAAAAAGTACAGTCCACCATGGGGTATGGGGTGTGTCATCATACCACTTGGTACACGTAGGTTTGGTGAGATGTACGTATGCTGCCCTTTAAGTGCTTCAGTGCATTCAGTGCTCAAGTGAAAATAAGTATTTTCCTCTTACATTTGCTTCTGTCTAAATGGGTGTATATTATGTCCATAGTAATTAATCAAATAACAATCAAAAATCAAAATTCTGACCAAATCTCAATCGATTTAATTACAGGTTCATACTACAATGGATACTTACATAGACAGGAGATTCAATTGGATAGAATGACATCTCTCCTGTAAAAGAAGGAAAAAAAGTAAGTATATATTAAATTGGATAACCATACTGCTAAAGAAAAATGGAAAATTCACAAAAAACATTGTATCTTTTACATTTGATGTCCTTTCGAATATTATTTGGCCGTATAATCATTCAAAAACCAGCTTAATTTGTGAGCATCTGTATTTTACTATTTTTATAGGTTCACTTGCATTTATTTATCTGTTCACAATAAGAAAAACTAACATGATAATGATCATTTATATATATATATTTTTTGTTTAAACATTTTAATTTGAAACACTAAATATTGGTACTTCTGAACATTAGAGCAACTTACTTGCCACCTCCCATGAATTTTTGTGATACCAATAATCCAACACATACTGTAACGTCTTGCTCAAATTATCATATTTTTAATATAATTTGAAAAGAGGAGGCAGAAAAATATGAGTATGGTACAGATCAATAACAGAAGAAAGGAATAATATTCAAAGATATATGTACCTGCTTTGCAAACATTCATTAAAAATGCTACATTCTGAAATTAAAATCCATTTACACTTCTATTTCTTAAAACATTACATGGCCTTCACAGAGATGGTATAAATTCCTTCCCTATCTCAAAGCATATATTTGATTTCTTCTTTCTTATGTCTTAAGTATCAAGGTCTTTACACACAATGGCCCATATTGACATTTACCTGCTCAATACAGAGACAAGATAGGGAAGAATTGTTCACATGACACATTAAAGGCAGGATGTTCTACTGACAGTACAGTGTACTTCAGACTTATGAACACTGCCATCTGCTGTTCACAATGTTAATAATAATAATAATACATAACATTTATTAGGCACTTAATGATACAGGTGTTTCTAAGCGCACCATTGTCTGACTTAAAATTACCAACTAAAGCTTATAATAAACACAACAAATATAAATCTGTTCTTTATTCAATAAATCATGTATATATAATAACATGTTCTGATGGGTTGACAGCCATGTCCCACAATGCATCATTAACTGATGAGGCGTGTGTGTGATGATACTTGGGTACAGGCATCAGAAATCACTCTAAGTACGCCTTCACCAAAAGATGGTGCATTATACATTTGAGCAGTGGTAGTGGTGTCGATAAAATCCCCTGCCTTTAAAATAAATGCTGCAGCAAAATAAAATGATATATGCACATGCATAGTTGCATTTGATGTGTTCAAATTTGTTTTCTTTTTTTATAACAAACCCTCACTTGCCGTTAAAATGCAAAAACTGGTTGCATTTTGCAGCAAAATCGATTTTCAAATAGTTTAATGCACCATGTATTAATAGATCTTATTAATGGTGACAGAGGAGGAGAAGAAAGGAGTAGAGCAAGAGAAATGTTGTGAGGGGGTGGGGGGGGGGGTTAAGTATGAGTGTCATGATCCAGATAATGAATTGTTGGCATTTACAATGTAAATATGTAAATATAGTATATCGTAATTAAGGCTTTAAAGAGTACCAGATCAAGATCCATTTCAGTGGCAGATATAGAGTAGGCTAGAGCACAACCCCGTTGTTTGGTGTTTTGGGGTGGAATTTTTTTTTTTTTTTTTTGGGGGGGGGGGGTGTTTTTATTTGTTTTGTTTTGTTTTTATTTTTTTCTTACCAGTTAGGATCACTTTTCTGTATATTTTTCTGGAGGATGAACTCTCAGTTTTCCCAACATTTCCCTCCTCCCCCATGAAATAATCAGTGACTGACCAAAGTATAGAGGTATAGAAAACAAACAAAGAATTGGTGATAGAGAAGAAGAAAATAGGAAAAAAAATACATCATACCTTACATAAAGAAATATGATGATGCATTGAAAAAAACAAATTCCAAGAAAATAAGTAAGAGATTCAGATATATCATAGGTAAAAAAAACAACCCCTAAAATAAGAGAGATAGACAGTTACAGACACAGACAAGCAGGCAAAGATAGATTAGTATGAGAGACAAAGATATCTATAGACAGATACACACAGAGAGAACATACATACAGATTGTATTCGAGTGGAAGAAGACTCCATATGACATAATGCTATCTGATAAAGATATTTGAACAAGTTATTTAGCTGGTCACTGGGTCAACAAGTTGAGTGCTAGCTAACTCAGAAAAAAGGATACACTTAAGTGTTATAAATACACCTGAAGTATGTCATCTGACAGTCACGTTTGATTCAATTCATTAAGATTTCCATTTTGGTATCATCAGAGTAAACCTCTTGATGCAAAGATACAGGTACTTGGTAAAGGTTACCATCTGGGATATTTGTTCATCAAATAAATATAAAGTAGTAAAAAAGTAGCCCTTAATAATGTATTTCTCAAATAACTCACATGTTGTACGATACATGCTCCATGGTTAATTTTCAACATTAATTTAATTTGTTTCTTCAACCCTGGACCTGGCATTAAACCTAACCTTACACTACAAGGTACAACATGTACCTACACTGACTTAACAAGTCAATCCTTTACCTAATTCTAACCCTAACTTTAAACCAAAGCAGGGCTTGGCACTAACCTAAAATCGAAGTCTGGACCCCCAATTAGTTCTATCTGGACTCCCTTCCAATAAAATTGGTGTGGATTTTTGCAACCCCTAACCCTAACAGCCTAACCTATATCTTTGATGCAATAAAGCCTGAAGCCATTGTCATGGAGCAGTTGTTACATAACAACTTACAAATACAGTCTGTTTCATTGCTATCCACATGTATCCATGATTCATATTCATGTTAAACCCTCTCCCACATGAAAAAGATTTGTTTTTAATAAAGATACATGTATATGCAACTTTAAATATAAAAACATAACCTAAATCCATTTATCAAACTTCAAATTAAGCATTCTGTTTATATCAATCCAAACTGCAATTTAATTTCAATCATCATTAATGTGGCAGGTGAATTCTGTAATTACACGACACATAACGATGCTTCTCTCCCTCGTGTGAAGTAAACCTCAGTAAATGGCAATTGAACCATACATCATGGCTAATCACCTATTTCACATAAAACCATTCCCTCATCGACCAATTACACCTGTCATACGATCACCTCCTTCAAACCAATCCTCAATTAAAGGTAAAAACCAGTTTTGGAAACGCCCCCCTCTCAAGAAATGAAATGGAAGCTCTTATTACCAATCATGTGAAAAAATACGTCCTGACTAATACGTGATCATACAAATTTTGCCGAGAAACCGCCTACTAATTGATATATTTGGTAAATTATTATATCTATTTGGACCTGATAGATAAAACTAGATGATCAACCTTTTCTGATCGATTCCACAACGTTTCTTTCACAATGCAATCGCATGACCATAACTGGTCTTTATCTTTAAAGTCACTGTATAATTGTTAGGATCTATTTAACATTGCCTGTATACTATCATCAATTTCTTGGACATGAAAAGTTGCAGCTCAAATGAAACCTCTCTAGTTTCAGCTCATTGAAACCCGCAATCCTCGAGAGGGAATCACTGTCTTAAAGTATCCTTTACATCTTTTCATCCATCCTACGAGAGAATAAAAAAAAGGGTAAAAAGCAGTCGTATCTGCGTCTCTTCCGACTCACTCACGAATGATCATATAAGAAAGAAACTTCTCTCGATGCACGCAGAATAATTTTGGTCAATACTGTCGCTACCGGGGAGTAACCCGAGACTCTGGGATTGGGATTTTGTTGCATGTTACCACGGTAACAGCATCAAGGTAGTGTTGTGAAGTCATTACTTGCAGGCCCAATTGTTTGCTTTTCGGGGTAGTAAGCTAGGATATAAAAGATGTGGGTTGGTGTTGACCTTTAGATATCTGGAGGTACAGGGTGATTTGGGGGTTGTTGGTTCGGGCAGGACTGGTTCCCAAGAAGGTCACCATGAACTGTCTGACAAGCATCTTGGGGTTATTATTATGACCTCATAAATAATATAGATATATATATATATCTTTATCATGTTTTATTTGTTTATATCTGGAAGGAGCAGGTTTGATCCTAAGAAATGGGCGGGAACAGTTTTCAAGATGACAATTGGATTCTGTTTTTTGATATCTGAGAGTGACTGGTTTGATCTTGGGGTGATGTGTAGGGGCATGAAGGATTCTCAAAAAGATTACTGTATTCCTGCATCTTCGAGTTGGATGTTTCATTGTGACATAATGAATAATAGCTATGAATATTAGTTTGGATTTAGAAAGACTCCCTATTTTTTGTTTTAATACCTGAATTCCCAAGTTTTCCTATCATTACAGACATACAGAATTACAAAATGTGTGCCCCCCCCCAAAAAAAAATAATAATAATAATAATTGTTATCTGAGACAGACAGACAGTGAAGCAATATAAACATGCACTCTGGTCTTGGAGGAGGGGGGGGGGGAGAAGAAAGCTATTTTTGGATTGTAACATGCAATGTCTCATCTGTTTCCTCTTCAAACTGGGTGGATACCTTTTCTATGTAACCATTCTAGCATACATACATACATACATGTTTAGTGTATGTACTATGTGGGTATGAAAATACACTGTAGAAGTACATGTGAACCTTTCATTTAGTTATTTTACAGAAACATCTTTACTTATAGGTCTACTATTTTCTATACTACATACATGTGTGTAAACTGAAACTTGCCTATCTTGTACATATCCACCTCAATATAGCTTGATTTCTACAGAAGCCACAATTGTAATTATAGTACACCACGGACAATTTCCTGTTCCAATTCCGATAATTCTGAAACTAATTCAACAATGTTTATCTGTGTATCCAGATCATATTTTAAGATAGTGTATATCAGTGTATATCAGGAAATTATCAATTTGTCCAAAACAGGCATTTTAAAATAATATTTGATTTCTTCACCAGGAGATAAGGAGAAAAGGCACAAGGAAGTAAATATAACATACGCTGTAGATAAATAAACATTATCCTAAATATAGGAACTCTACCGCGTACAAGTGCAAACGCTCCACACCCACCATTGATCATGGATAGACAAAACTCTGCATCACCAAAAGGGTACTGTTCAATGTTGTTATTTCTTCACCTCAAATTGAATTGGTGCATTTACAAAGAATTTTTTCCTCCTTCTTTTATACATGCAATATCTTTTATATTCATATTTGGAATTAAGGAGTGGAATGAAATCACCTATTTTATTATTAAAAAACAAGTTAGCTCATGTCATCGTTGAAATTAATCTCTGGACTCATTTCATCAACAAACTCAATAGACCGGTTTGCTATATTCAAATGTTATTAATACTGGTATATGGGTACCTGGTAGGAATTTATTCCTTGAAATGCTAGAGCACCGTATGGCAGCCGTGCTAAAGCCAGGGTAATAATCGGGAGCGCCAGGAGGGTCAAATCTGACTGACATGAGCGCTATACAAGAACCCACTATTATTATTATTATTATTCAACAAAGATTGTTCTTGACAACCTGAAAGCTAATTCAAGGATTGCCTGACATATCAACAAGTAATGTATGCAGACTGGATTCCAAGTATTGTTTTTCATTCAGTAATAATAATAATGGAATAACTCGTCACTAGGTCCCAAGGAAAGAAACATTCATAAATTTGAATATGTTAGTAAAACAGTTTGTTGGTGAGATTGAGTTTGAGTGAATGATTTCAGAAGAGAAGCATATTGTGTACACTTGGCATCTCATCACAGTGTTTCACCGTCATAAAAAATTACTTCAGAACTTACGACTATAGAATTTCATATAAGTTATTTTTATGGTAAAATGTCAATCATACAAAATTCATCAAAGGTAATACAAGTTTTGGTATGGGGTCATGAATTTGGTTCAAATGAACATATTGGAAGGCAGCATATGCGATCCTACAATATTCAGTGATCGTTGTCGCGGTCGAAATCGACTCTAAAGTTATGAAATTGTAAATAATAAACAATTTATGTTGAATAGCTCCCTCTCAAGGTCAAGATATTAAACAATGTTTCTTGACTAAAATCGACTGATTAGCTATTTCCGTTTGGAAATTATATACCACAACTACATATTCTGAGATTTTCATGGTCGCAGCTACCATTGTACGGCCGTAGGAGCTATTTGAAATTGATCAAAATTTACCAGGAGCACCAGTAAATCTTTATATTCAATTTTTCTCGAAAGCAGAAGTGTTTTAGGGGCTAAAATTTCTAGTGCTTTTAAAACATCTACAGGGGCATCCAAATATATCAAAATTGTAAAGAATCACTATCCACCCATTTTTCAAAATTTACCAAAACTTTGTATTACCTTTAAGATAATAATAATGTTTGCCACACAAAGTGAAAAACTTTGAAATTATCTCCCATTCGACCACTCTGTACAGCGTACAAAAATATATACATATAAGTTGGTTGATAAACCAACATGTGCTATATGATTGAATTATCAGACTTCCTTGGGCATTTCCTTTTATATCTCATATTTCCTTCTTGACTTCTTCATTCAAAAGCCTTTTGTATTACATTTTTTTCCTAATTTCTCAGATGTGTTTTGCATGAACGTCCAGAGTGATTTGGCTCAGAAATCCTGGAGGGAAGTATACCAGTAGCATTACGGAAAGAAATTGGAGAAAAGTTTTGATGTATGAAACCACGATATCCTTCCTATCACTATGTTACTGCCATGTTACAAATATGCCTTCTGAAGAATAGTTGGTTTGCAAGTAATATTCTCTCTATAGGTATTTACTAATAGTATTACACTGGTCAACTTATCTTTGACCTTTTCTTTTGTTAATTTAACTTGTAAAGAAGAAGACATGGCCAGCCTTGTTAAAACATTCATATCATTTCACTTTTTCTGCTATTTTGTACGACTGCCAGTGCAAATTGAATTCTTCTTTAAAGGCTCTAAGGATTACCAAAGCCAACTCTGAGTATTGTCAGAGACCACACTGAATATTATCAAGGACAATCCTGACAACTGACAATAACACTCAAAGATAAGTCTGAGCATTGTCTAAATCAACTCTTAAGGATTGTCAAAGACCTCTCTGAGGATCATAGAAGATCTCTCTGATGATCATTGAAGACCACTTTAAGGATCATCGAAGACCTCTCTGAAGATCATCACAGACGTCTCTGAGAATCGACAGAGACCTCTCTGAGGATCTTCAAAGAACGCTCAGAGGATCTTTAAAGACCGCTCAGAGGATTGCCAAAGACCGCTCTGAGGATCATCAAAGACCACTCTGAGGATCATCCAAGACCACTCTAAGGATCATCGAAGACCCTCTGAGGATTGTCAAAGACCACTCTGAGGATCATCGAAGACCACTCTGAAGATCATTACAGACGTCTCTGAGAATCAGCAGAGACCTCTCTGAGGATCGTCAAAGACCTCTCTGAGGATTGTCAAAGAGCGCTCTGAGGATTGTCAAAGACCGCTCAGAGGATCATTGAAGGCCGCTGTGAGAATCAACAGAGACCTCTCTCTCTCTCTGAGGATCATCGAAGACCGCTCAGAGGATTATCAAAAACCGCTCAGAGGATTGTCAAAAACCGCTCTGAGGATTGTCAAAGACCACTCTGAGGATCATCGAAGACCACTCAAGAGGATCGTCGAAGATCACTCTGAGGATCATCCAAGACCACTCTGAAGATCATTACAGACGTCTCTGAGAATCAGCAAAGACCTCTCTGAGGATCGTCAAAGACCTCTCTGAGGATTGTCAAAGACCGCTCAGAGGATCATCGAAGACCGCTATGAGAATCAACAGAGACCTCTCTGAGGATCATCGAAGACCGCTCAGAGGATTGTTAAAGACCGCTCTGAGGATTGCCAAAGACCACTCTGAGGGTCATCAAAGACCGCTCAGAGGATTGTCAAAGACCACTCAGAGGATCTTCAAAGACCACTAATATCCTTACCTTTGTCTTGAGATGATATCATATCAGGGATCTGGGACGCATTAGTCCTGTTCTTGAGGGCCAGCCTGCGTAGGCTGGGGTAGGCTGAACTGGAAGGAAAGGGGCTGGGGCTCTTCTTACGTTGGGGACGACGAGGTGGAATGCATTCCTTAGGGGTTGTGCTTAAACTCCTCTGACACTTATCAAGCTCTACCCCGTTCACCACGTCACTATAACTCCTCTCACCTGGCCTAGTGCTGTCCTTGTGCAAATCTGCAAGATTGGGAAACAAAAGAAATTTAGGAAACAAAATATATCAATCATATATTGGCTTCAAATTTGTAGAGAAGATAAAATGCAGATAAAAAGAGAAGATAAAAATAAAATAAAAGTAAAATGAGAAGATAAAAAGTAAGTAGTATGTAATCACTTTTTTAAATACTGATCAGTTTAATAACGTACAATGTACATGTTTGTAATGTCAAAGCTTTAAACTAATATGTGTGAAGATATAACTGACTTTCTTTGTAATTGACAGGAAATCTGGAAACATGTATAAAACTATGGAACATACATGATAATATGTGAGTCTTTCACAAGTAGACAAGATTAATGATTTCTAGATCTAATATGCCATTAAAATGTACCACATTCTTGATATTATAGATGCTAATAAAAAAAGGTATATATATACTTTTAGAGTTATTTTAATTACAATCAGAGTGACAATAGAATGCCCTTCCATGTAACCAAGCACTGCTACACGATTAAACTTAAAAACATGACAGGTATTGAATACATATTTAATGTGGTCAGTAGACCATGAAGTATGTGCTAAATTCCTTCGATGTCTGTCTGTTAAGCGCCAGGGCAGATCGATGGCTGCAATGAGCTACTTGTATTCCAGCTCTTTGTACCTACCCGGTCTGTTCAAGCTGTTGAGGTCTATTCAAGCTGTTGAGGAATGACTTCATTTTTGACAAGTTCATAGCTTGTTGAAGTCAAGTGCAATTCAATTACAATGCCAAATCAAATGACACCTCAAGCACACTACAAATGTATTGTCACAGTAGTTTGAAGAGTACTTCTTTGTATTATGTGGGAATATTTTTGTCTCCATACAGTTTTCTTTCCTTTCCTCTTTGACGTATAAGGCAGGACTTGACATTTACAGGCTCCTGGGACACATGGGCGCCCCAAATCTAAGTTTGGACCCACCAATTTTTACATAGAGCTCACACATTACAGACTGTAAAATTTTCAATGTGGACCCCCTTCCTAAAATGTTATTGTGGAACCCTGTATAAGGTTAGTGGCATAGAGGGCCCCCCTTCCCCAAATCAAATGGCCCAAAAGGGAGGAAACAAGAAAATGTGAAAAGGGGGAGAGGGGAAAAATATGATGGGACACCTTCCTGTACTAAAAGACAATTCACATAACATTTACCAAGACTAGTAGCCCTCCCCCCCCCCCCACCCTCCACACCATGATGCCAGTACCTCCTTAATGTCTAGACCTAGGCTATGCCTCTGTACAAGGGCTTTCTGATGACACTTATACAAAGAAAGTGGATAGTAAATGAAGATGACATCGTTGGTTTTCATTTGCAGTAGATCATAATTCGCTGACACCAGACTTAGGGGCAATTGGTAGAAAATTTAGAGCATTACATAAAGGCTGTTGGTAAAACAAAACAGAAGGCTTATCCTAGTGATTGACACCTGTAACTGGGTAAACACCCAAATGGTGTCAAATATTCCATGAGAGCCCATGACTCTGCGCCATTAATGGGAGAAGTCACCCAGAGCAATCATGTCAAGCATGAATGATGATCAGCAAACTAAACCCATAATTACATTTTGACTCACAACTATACAAAACAAACAAATCATGGGCACGGTGTGAAAATGTCAAATGTTGAAAGTCTCTCCATTTCTGCGCTCACACAGGCCCACTGCAATGAAACTCAAATACTTATGAGGATATCAATTTATGAATCTCAACTTAGAAAGTTGCTGGACAAAACAACTTTACGAGGTACGTGTAGCCCCATCAATCATTTGCTTGATGTCATAAATGTAATACGTTACTTTATAATTTTTGGGCACAACATTTTACTCTCTCTCTCTCTTTTTCTCTGTGTCTCCTCTTCTTTCTCTCTTTTTCTCTTTCTCTCTCTCACACGTACACACACACACACATGCACGCACACATACACTGGATGTATTTGCTCTTATGTATTATTATCCTATAGAGATAGTGCACGTACATGCTCCCAGTCATGCTCAGTCTAAAAACAAACATGACAGCCTGAAGGGGGGAAAAAACGTGATTCTAGGACGCAACTGGCAAGGTTGCCGAGCTCAGTTTTCAATCGATGAGGAGTGGAGTTTGGCTAGAATCGACTGTAAGATGAGCCCAAGAGACAACCGTCTTAATGTCTCTACTTGTGTGGACTCGAGCACAGACTTAATCAAGACTCTTTATAATTTCTTTAATCAACAAAAATTACCGGTACTTATGAACCTCCTGCTTGAAGACACTATACGATAGGGTAATCCGTTCTGTAGATTTCCAGGAAATTAGAAAATTTCTGTCATAAGTCATCTTTTACAATGAAAGAAATCCATCTCATTTCCCTAAATATTGTTAAATCTACCAATGAATTTCCTAGAAGCAATTATCAGAACCCTTGAATGAGCCTACATAAGTAGCTCGATTCAACCACTTTGCTCAACCTAGAACGTGATCAATAAACGTTTCTCTTGAACAACCAAAGCTCTACAAAACATTAGATCAACATCTAAAGTTCATTTCATTACCCAATTGCCATTTCCATATTTACCCAGTTAGGATGTTGCCATCTTGGACTTCGAATGGGGAAAGTATTGCCAATTTATTCGTCAAAACAAACCAATTAATATTCCCTCTCTCAATCTCTCTCTCTCAATCTCCTCCCATCTCCCTCACTCCCTGCCTCATCTCTAGGCCTACTCTACAATTTTTTCTAAACTCTTTCTCCCCAATGGTACATTTTTCTACTTCTCTCTTTCACTGACAAGACCTGCACACCTATTATATATTTATTATTGTATATCTACATGTATCTATCTATCTATTTATCTATCCATCTATATATCTCTACAGGTATATCTATTTATGTATCTGTCTGTCTATTTATCTACATGTACCGGTAGCTACTATGTAATATGAAAACACCTAAAACACCTGCACATATCATTACAAAAGAGAAAAAGCATTATGAAGTGAATAAAACAAAATATCCAAAGGACAATAGAGTAAAGGACAATAGAGTGAGGAGATTGGTTGTTTGCTTATAAGTGAACTATTTCAATAACATAAAAGTCCTGTAGGTAACTTTTACTACCGGTAATTGGTAATGCAGTACTACATTTATATGATATACACCTCCCGCTAACTACAGGTATTTTAACTTGTTAATACCAGGTATGAATAGAAATGAACATTGATTTTTCCCATACGAAACGGTAATCATGTCTTGTCACAACTTTCAAGGATGTTATTCTTTCCCTCACCTGTATTCCAAGGCAAATCAATATGCAATTCAGCCACTTTAACGAAACCTATCTATATTTTTTAAATGGTACATTCAACATTTCAAATGACTTATGCTTATTCATGGTTACGGGCTTGGGGCTTTAGAATACCCCTTTGGCATTATGGGAAAAGAGTGTTGAGTTTGAACGATCAAGAAGCTAATACTGGTATACCAGGACTAACATGGTATCAGCATCACTTGTCTATCAGGATATGGAGAAGAATTCTCAGTCTCACCTCACTTCAAAAAAGGGGTTGATCAAGTCCAGACTTGAATACAGTCTGGCCTGAAATTTGGTTCTCTGCATTAAATATGAATAGTATCCGCACTGCTCATTGTAGATCAAGATATCTCCTAGTCCTAAGTCTGGACTCGACCCTCTTTGGCAGACAGTATGAAAATTAACAGTGTAAAAGAGACCTAAGAGTCTCTAAAAGATGTAAAGACATACAAATGACAACAACTCAATCTGCACAAATATAGACCAAAGAGTCTAAAGGACTTTAAAGACATATTGTCCTAAAATGAATGGCATCATGTCTACACATGTAGGTGCAGCAGGTGGTGGTCATAATCATGCACATTAACAAAAAACATAGTCCCATAATATCATATTCATTCATGCATGTACACTATGTAATGGTACACATACTGTATATCAAAACGTTAGCCCACACATGGAGCCTGGTACTGTGTATTTGAAGTTCAGGAGAGACTATATGATGCACTTGTTATGATGCTGTGGGAGTCTGGAAGGAGATAAGTTGATGATCAAAAAAACAAAAGAAGAGGCACCACAAACTAAGTATATTGCCCGCTGTAATCGCTAGTGTCTATACTATTATTTGAACACTAGCACCATATAAAGATAACTCAAGAGGGGGCTAAATATTGACAGAACAGTCATCAACACAATCCCTTGTTATTCTCACATTTTCTTCTCTTCCATTTCTGTTATGTTGTTGCCATCTCCCTCCCTCTATTCCCCATCTCTCCCCCCCCCCCCCCTCCCCTCTCTCTCTCTCTCTCTCTCTCTCTCTCTCTCTCTCTCTTTCTCTCTTTTCTTCTCTTCTCTTCTATTCTCTTTTAATTCTACTTCTCTCCTTCTCTCTTTTCCTCTCTTGCTCTTCCTATCCCATCATAAATATATCTATCCTGCATGGCAAATGAAAAACTAAAAACAAGGGCTACTTTATAGTCACACTGTCATGTGAAAATGATGTTATTCATTACAGCCCAGTGACTATATCTTCTAGGGTGTCCCATTTCATATTTACAGGGACTTTTTTGAGATTTCAGGAGGCAAAACAACATCAGTCACCTTTTTTTGTATTCACTGCTACCCTGGTAACAAGAAAGTTGCATTGACTAAACAGAGCTTCTTACCGTCATTTTTAGTCCAATAAACACCCATATCTGATCGTGGGGTAATCCAATTATATATCTCCAAAGAAAGTATCACTCAATACTTCTCAAGTCAAAGACATCTGATAAATTTTTTTTAATCCCACAAAAGAATCGCCAAATTATATCGCAAATGAACTGCAAATTCATCAGTTTGGACATGCAAGCAAAGATGCATCAAGATCCTCCCTGGAATAAAGGATGAAAATGCTCCACCATTGCAGATGAAATTGTTGGTGTCATCGTCGAGATGGTGGCCTGCTCATTTGAGTCATTACAGCATCTTCTA